TGAAAACTACAGAATACATATGAAAGAAATTGAAGAAGACACAATGAAATAGAAAAACATTCTATGTGGGGCGCCTGGGTGGCTCAGTCGCTAAAGCATCCAACTTCGGCTCAGGTCATGATCTCATGGTTTTCAAGGTCAAACCCTGCGTCGGGCTCTGTGCTGACAACTCAGAGCCTGGAGCCCACCATGGATTCTGTGTCTCCCTTTCTCTCTGATCCTCCCCTGCTCATGTTCTGTCTCTCTCTCCATTTCAAAAATAAATATTCAAAAAATTTTTTAAAAAAGAAAAACATTCCATGCTCATAGATTTGAAGAACAATTGTTAAAATGTTGATACTACCCAAAGCAATCTACACATGCAATCCAATCCCTATCAAGGTAACACCAGAATTCTTGACAGAGCTAGAACAAACAATCCTAAAATTTGTATGGAACCACAAAAGACCCTGAAGAGCCAAAGCAATCTTGAAAAAGAAAACCAAAGCTGGAAACATCACTATCCCAGACTTCAAGATGTATTACAAAGCTGTAATCATCAAAACAGTATGTTACTGGCACAAAAACGGACACTCAGATAGATGAAACAGAATAGAAAACCCAGAAATGGACCTACAAACGTATGGCAAACCAATCTTTGACAAAGAAGGAAAGAATATCCAATGGAATAAAGACCATCTCCTCAGCAAATGGTGCTGGGAAAACTGGACAGTGACATACAGAATAAACCTGGACCACTTTCTTACATTTTATTAACTCAAAATGGGTGAAATGCCTAAATGTGAGACAGAAAGCATCAAAATCATAGAGAAGGAAACAGGCGGGAACCTCTCTGACCTCAGTTGTAGCAACTTCTTACTAGATACATCCACAGAGTTAAGGAAAACAAAAGCAAAAATGAACTACTGGGTCTCATCAAGATAAAAAGCAAAGAAAACAACAAAACTAAAAGGCAGCTGATGGAATGGGAGAAGATATTTGCAAATGACATATCAGATAAAGGGCTGGTATCCAAAATCTATAAAGATCTCATCAAACTCAACACCCAAAGAACACATAATCCAGTTAAACTGTGCAGAAGACATAAACACACACTTCTCCAAAGAAGACATCCATATGGCTAACACATGAAAATATGTTCAACATCATTCATCATCAGGGAAACACAAATCAAAACTACAATGAGATATCATTTCACGCCAGTCAGAATGGCTAACATTAACAACACAGGAAACAACAGGTGTTGGTGAGAATATTGAGAAAGGGGAACACTTTTGCACTGTTGGTAGAAATGTAAACTGGTGCAGCCATTCTGGGAAACAGTATGGATGTTCCTGAAAAAGTTAAAAATAGAACTAGCCTACGACTCAACAATTGCACTATTAGGTGTTTATACAAAGGATACAAAGATGCTGATTTGAAGGGGCACATGCACCCCAATGTTTATAGCAGCACTATCAACAATAATCAAATTGTGGAAAGAGCAAAAATGTCCACTGACTGATGAATGGATAAAGAAGATGTGGTATATATACAATGGAATATTACTCAGCAATAAAAATTAATGAAACTTTGCCATTTATAAAGACATAGATAGGACTAGAGTGTATAACGCTAAGCAAAATAAGTCAGTCAGAGAAAGAAAAATACCATATGATTTCACTCATATGTGGATTTTAAGAAACAAACAGATGAGCATAGGGAAAAGGAAGGCAAAATAAGATAATAACAGTAAATAAAATCTTAAAAGACTCTTAAATACAGAGGACAAAGTAAGGGTTGAAGAAGGGGAGGTGGGGGATAGGCTGGGTGGGGGATGGGTACCAGGAGGGCATTTGTTGGGATGAGAAATGGAGGTTGTATACAAGTGATGAATCACTAAATTCTAGTACACTATATGTAAACTACCTTAAATTTAAATAAAGTCTTGGAAGAAAAAAATAAAAGACTATAGTTCTAAACAGCAAATGTAAAACTCTAATAAACAAATGAGTTACATAATGTGTGGGGCTCACAGCAAAATAAAAATACAGAATTCTGGGGCACCTGGGTGGCTCAGTTAGTTGAGTGTCTGACTTTGGCTCAGGTCATGATCTCATGGCTTGTGAGTTCAAGCCCCGCATCAAGCTCTGTGCTGACAGCTCAGAGCCTGGAGCCTGCTTCAGATTCTGTGTCTCCCTCTCTCTCTGCCCACACTCGCTCACTCGCTCTCTCTCTCTCTCTCTCTCTCTCTCTCAAAAATAGATAAAAATTTAAAAAATTCAGAGCTCCTCGTTCAAAGTTACTGAGACTTTCAAGATGGTGAAACAGAGCGTCAAATCAGGCACAGAGCCCATGGTGGCTGCAGCATGTCTATGAAGCTTCCATACAATCAAAGAATGTTCAAGACTATTTCATTTTGACTTGAAAATAATTTATAAACAAGACCTCAGAGAGACAACACATAAAGAGGAAAATCGTTCCTCGTTACTTCATCAAAATGCCGGATTTCTTGACATCTGTAGAAACTTCAGATAAAGTTGATGTGGGTGGTATTTTGAAAGAAATTAGACCACACTGCAGTTAGCTGAAGAACTGGAGTCTTGGTTTAAATCCCAGCTTCACAATTGATTGTAACACAGGCACATTTAACGGCAGTGAAATTTGCTGACAGTAGACCCTGCGCATTCTCTCCACACACAAGCATCAACATGTGAAACAATGGATGAGTTCATTACCTTCATCGTGGTGGTCATACGACAATGCAGGGAAGCCAAATCATCACATGCACACTTGACACATATAGAGATATACTTGTCGATGATTCCTCAACAACATGGGGAAACAGCAAAATTACTTAAATCATTTGAGCCCCCATTTTCTTATAACGAGAGATGATTTTACTACTTCTCTTGCTGGGTGTTTGGAAGAAAAAAAATGAGCTAACACCTGTAAGGAACTCAGAATAAGAACTAATACAATAAGCGCACAATAAAAGTTATTTCCCTTCTATTTATAGCATATATGTGAACAAGGAATTTAAATGTGATAAATCTACAATGAATTCCTGCAAAGCAACAATAATGGATCTCAACACAAAGATGGACAGGGTACGTGGTGTTTATAATTGTTATAAGAAAATTTGCAAAAATGGCATTGCATATATTCTTTGGATGAGGCTCACAGAATATTTTCACCTAAAGGATTCAGAAAGAAGTAGGGATACACATGGGAGAGACCAGCCTCATTCCTTAGAGAGATATGTGCCTTTTGGTATCCCGATTTTAAAGAAACTAATTTAGTGCTAATACCAAGAGTGAAGAATTGGGTTTAGAATTTTTCCTCATTCCTCTCTTTGTTTTCCATAGAATCAGAGTAATGAATACATAGAATTTTAAAGGTTATCATCATTCTATATGGATCAATGGAACATAACCGGCCCCCATTCCTTAATATAATTTGCCAGATTTCTTTCTTTTTATACAAAGTTTTTCCAGGGAAGTGCCCCTGATGACAAAGGAAGAAAAGGTATTTGAACTAAGAACACAGAGGAGGCCCCTGACAATTGTGCTGTCCATGACTCTGCAAATAAGGAAGAAACATAGAAAAGAAAATTTTAGGCTGGGGAGGGGGAGGGGGAGGGGGAACAATGGAACTCAAGATAGTAGCACCCAAGAGGAATTGTCTTGAATTGCATGTATGGGAAAATATCCTGTTTATTCTCACAGCGATCATGCTCACACCCAGGGGACACTCTCTCCGTGTTTATATGTCTAAGGTCTGTGGCTCCTGAGAGGCAGGAAGAATGTCAGAAGGAGACAAAGACGTTTCTGAACATGAAGAGCTCATGCTGCAATCCCCATATGAACAGTCACTTCAAATATCTTCCTGCCATTTTCAGCTGTTGGGAGTGTAAACCTGCAAAGCTGGGCAGGCTGTGAATCCAACACTCAGGTAAGAGAATGCCTTAGGACTCAGGCTGAGAGGACCCCATATTTTCTGTATGTTTGTTTATATGCAACTAAGTGCCCAGATCTAGAGCTGGTTTCCTATTTTATGATGGATTCCCCATTGCATTTGTGGATTGTGAAGACTCTTTATACACTTTTATTGCCATATCTCATTCGCACCTCAGGAGGCCTGGTTCTCTAAATATTCTCCAGAGTAAATATGTAATCTCTCAGCATTAAAATTGCAGTGAAATAAATGACTGAGTAAGGACAAGTCTGATTAGAAATTGTCTTTAATGTTAGAAAAAGGTTTCTCCCCCAAATGAATTTTTGATCCAATTTTGTTTGGTAAGTCAGAGAACCCAAAATGATATTTGCCATAACATTTGTATCTCACACAGGAGAGGTAGGATTAACAGTGTGAAAACATACTGTCAAAGAAAGCTAGTCTGACCTGCATGAAGCCAGCCTTTTACGGAGGTACAGCACAGATCAGGTATGTTCTCTAAATTCCTTCAACTCTACAGCGTAGAATCCCCCAGGCTATGGAGAGGTACTGCCTCATCAACCCACTCCTTTATTCCTCACATCAAATCTTTCTATTCTCCTCTCAGGGATTTCCCAAGCTTAGAAAAAAAAAATCCCCTTTTTGTAGGAGGCACCCCCATGTCTGCATCTCCATTCAGATTTCCTTCCATTATTTTCATTCTCTCCTTGTCTATTTTCCATAATTAAAAACCCTTCAGGGGCTTTCTTACAAGGTCTAGAGGTAGCAGTCTGGATGCCCATTAAAGTTTTATCAGAAGGTAGATGTGCACAGCCAGAGAAGATGGTAGGTTGGCTACATGCTCTGAGTCTCTGGGAGAAAGACACATATTAATGACAATCAAATAAAGGGAAAAAATGGTGGACCAATGGCCCAAAACCAACAGTTCACCATAATATCTAATAGTCTAATGAGGCAAATCCTATAAAAGGAATGATGTTGAAACTGTGTAAAACAATAATGTTCAACCTCAAGGTACCATTGTGTAGACAGGAAAATCCTCAACTACAAAGTCTCTGATTCTCAACAGAGGTACGCTCCATAGAGTAATTCATCCTTTCTCTTAAGCGATGCTGAATCAAACCTCAGTCACTGCATTTCTCCTCCTGGGAGTCACAGACATCCAAGCACTGCAGCCTTATCTCTTCGTGGTTTTCCTTGCAATTTACATGGTCAGTGTGGTTGGCAATGGAGCGGTCCTCCTGGTTGTCGTCTCTGATCCAAGACTCCATTTACCCATGTATTTCTTCCTGGGAAATCTGTCATGTTTAGATATCTGCTACTCCACAGTGACACTGCCAAAGATGCTGGAGAACTTCTTCTCTACACACAAGACAATTTCCTTCTTGGGATGCATCAGCCAGCTTCACTTCTTCCACTTCCTGGGCAGCACGGAGGCCATGCTGTTGGCCGTGATGGCCTTTGACCGCTTTGTGGCCATCTGCAGGCCACTGCATTACTCTGTCATCATGAATTACCAGCTCTGTACCCAGATGGCTGTCACAGTCTGGACCATTGGTTTTTTCCATGCCCTGTTGCACTCCATGATGACCTCTCACTTGAACTTCTGTGGTTCTCATCAGATCCATCACTTCTTCTGTGATGTCAAGCCTTTGCTGGAGTTGGCCTGCGGGAACACGGAGCTCAACCAGTGGCTTCTCAACACGGTTACCGGGACCATTGCCATGGGCCCCTTCTTCCTAACACTTCTCTCCTACTTCACCATAATCATCTCTCTTTTCTCCAAGACCCACTCCTGTAGTGCACTCCACAAAGCACTGTCCACGTGTGCCTCTCACTTCATGATGGTCATTGTTTTCTATGCTCCTGTTGTCTTTACTTACATATCTCTTGCCTCAGGCAGCTCCATGCAGGACCAGGTCGCTGCCATCATGTACACTGTGGTCACTCCTATGCTGAACCCACTGGTCTATACACTGAGGAACAAGGACGTGAAGGCTGCCTTGAGTAGGGTCTTCAGAAGGAGGGACGACCTGAGCAAATTCAGAGCACACTTCTAAGAAAGGAATCAACAGGAGATGATAAAGTTGGTGTGTGAGGTTAGACTGCTTCTCAGATCATGTACAATATGTGTAATAGGTGGAGCTGTCCAAAGATAAATGAGAAAGTCCAGCCTGATTGTGTTAAATAAAGCATTCCTAGGTACCATAATGGAAACATGAACCCATGGGACACCAGCCATAGAATCCTAATGTTCAATTTGTGTTCAGGATATGAGTTCATAAAAATGATTTTTAATGTATTTTTATGGATTCTCTAATGACATCAGGGATAGAAATATGCCTATATACTCATATATTAGGTACATGAATACTACTTATGGCTCTTTGTGTGGCCCATCTACTTAACATATTTCATGTGAGTAAAAAAAAATTCTTATATTGTTACATTTTGAGGATGAATTTTGAGCCACATTTACTGAATAGGATAAGAAATGGTAATTCTCAGGGGCACCTGGGTGGCTCAGTCGGTTAAGCCTCCGACTTCGGATCTGGTCATGATCTCACAGTTTGTGAGTTCAAGCCCTGCGTCGGGCTCTGTGCTAACAGCTCAGAGCCTGGAGCCTGCTGCGGATTCTGTGTGTGTGTGTGTGTGTGTGTGTGTGTGTGTGTGTGTGTCTTTCTTCCCCTCCCTTGCTCACACCTTGTCTTTCTCTCTCTCAAAAATAAATAAACATTAAAAAAATTTTTTTAAAGAAATGGTAATTCACAAATGAGTTAAAGGAATTTTTAGTCAGTATGTAGCTCCCTAAGCAGGAGGCAAGTAAGTGATTAAAACAAATGATTTAAGCACTAATAAACATGGACAAATTAGCCAATGTTTATCTAATGAGTTTTGGAAACCTTATCTCTAGAGATGTCTTAAAGTCAACTGGAAAAACTGTAATTGAATACTGTTAAATATTACCGAAAGTGGAGACGGACTGGAAAAAAAATCTCAAAATCCCTCCCTAGCTAATCAGTATATTATTTTCCCCTCAATCTTTGGACACAAGAAATGATGAGTTTCAAAAACCTACCTGTTTTTCTATTTTCTTTTCCTATTTCTATGCTTTCTTCATAGATGATAAATGATACCATACATTGTAACACTGGGGGAAAGTTCAGAATTCATCAAAATGTTGTCTGTTTTCCCTACTTGTCACCAAACCCATACATAGTGAAAGATACTATGTCATAATTGTATGAACTGAGGCATTTCTGGAGCTAGTGTCAGGAGGCACTATATTCCCTACTTTCTAAGTCTTGGGAGTGGTTACTGGGCCTGAAGGATGGTGGGGGCAGCATTTTTGACTGGAGATGCAGATAAAGACTGTGACAGGCCTTTATGAGCTCAGGGACTGACTGTTCAAATTCTCTGCATCCACTTTTGTGAACACAAACAATGTGGTTTGATCTCATCCACTGTTTTTGGTCCCCCAATTCTACTTTTGTTTATAAAAAAAAATAAAATGTGTCTGTGGAGAAGGCATCTTCTACCCTGAACTGTCTCAGCCCCTCATTTCTGTTGATCAGAATTTTTTACAAAATCCAAGCTCCACGCAGGCCGTGAACCAGAGAAGAACACGTCATTATCTGGTTGGCTACTGCTGCCTAACACACTAGCATCCCCAAACACAGAAGCTGAAGACACCTATACCAGGAAGTTACATTCTTCTGAGGCTCAGGAATTGGGAAGAACAGAGCAGGGCAGGGCTGGTTCTCCTCGATCATGCTTGTGCCGTGGCTGAGCTGACGTGAGCATCCTCGCGTGGAAGAGTTGAGAGCTGGCAAAGTCTCTGTCTGGGTCTCCCTTGGTCCACTCTCTCCAAGTGGCTATTCTGTGCTTTTGCAGCATGGAGGCCTCGGGCTTGACACTCTACGTGGGGGCCAACAGACCAGGACAAAGGCTGCCAGTCATCTCTCCAACAAACCCAAGAACCAGTATTGACATCACCTCTGTCACCTTGGACAAAATAGACACAGGCCAACCGAACTGCAGAAAGAGGAAATCCCCACCTTTAACTGGAAAGAATATCAAAAAATTTTGTGGACATCCTTAATCCACCATAGTCCCAACTCTGTCTACTAATAATTAACACTGTCCCCACATACTTTCTCTCCCTCCAAATGATCTTAAAATCTCTTCCCATTACAACATCAGTCGGAATCTACATCTTTTCACCTACACTGGGTCAAGGTATAAACGGGGCTTGTTGGGTACAGTTCCTCAAATATGGTTCTTTTTGATCTAAAGAACTTCAAATTAAAGGGTCAAATTATCTGCCCTAGGTAGAGACAGACATAGATTTAGGTATATTATAGAATATTTTTCAGTTGTGCAAAAAAGAGGAAGTGCTGGCATTTGTGACAATGTGGACAGACCTTCAGGGTATAAGGCCAAATGAAATAAGTCAGTCAGAGAAAGAGAAATACCATATCTTGCACTTATATGTGGAATCTGAAAGCACAAAATAAAGAAAAACAAACAAACAGACATACACATAAACAAAGAGAACAAACTGGTGTTTGCCAGAGGGCAGGGAGGTGGGTGGATGGGTGCAATAGGAGAAGGGGATTAAGGGATACACACTCCCAATTACAGAGAAAATAAGTCACAGAGATTTAAAGTACAGTAGAAGGAATACAGTCAACAATATTATAATAACTTCATATGGTGACATATAGTAACTGCAATAATCATGGTATGAAATTCCATAATGCATATATATGTTGAATCACAGTGTGATTTCACAGCGTGAAAGGTATGAGGTACATAAAAGTGAATTGGGGGAGAAAAAAAAAGGCAGTTCCTCAGAGGTGGGAGAACCCATTCCGGGGAGAGACAAAGGGGAGAGAAAGTGAGAGGGGTTGAAAAAGTGTTGCGTTGAGGTCGTACCAGAAGAAAACCTCTCTGGATACACACTGGGGAGTGAGAAGTAATGAGTGTCCCAGTTTTTTGTTTGTTGGTTGGTTTGTTTGTTTGTTTGTTTGTTTTACAGTATGTGGAGCTCAAATTCTGAAATTTTGGAAGTGGGTGACTTTCTCAGGAGAGGAATTGTGGTGTGTGCTCCTGGGGAGAAGGGAGTGGGCCCGGAGCGCATAGTGTGGTGTAGCAATCTCTGGGGTGAACCAGAAGAGAACAGTCCCCTTCCTGGAGTGCTTGGGAAGAGGGTATATTGCCTCATCAGGGAAAAAGACCCTGCAAGTGCCAGTAAAAAGTCTTTCATCAGCAGGGGACAGAGACTCACCCAGAAGGAATATAACCTTTTCTGCACTTAGCGGTGCTACACCACAGATTCCGTGCAATGCACAGGTGTAGGACAGTTTTGCAGGGACAAAGGACTTCACATAGCATGGAGAGTCTGTACTCCAAGGTAGAGAAGCGGGTCCATGCAGTGCAAGGTCCTTTAAAACTTCAAATTGTGAATCCCAGCTTTGCACCAAAGAACGCACGAAAGCTCTGGTGTAGGGTGAGCTATTGGCCCTCGTTATTATGTGAACGCTGGCTGAACAGCAGGGGTCGACATCCCCAATCCAAGGAAGAGAGATTGGGTTGGGGCCATTTTCCCCCAAACACCAAAATGGTGGGACTTCCCAGTGGAGGCAGGACCTGCTTAGACAAAACCCCATCCCTTTGTGCCTGGCAACTGTTTATTCACTGGGGCAGGACTGACTGAGCCATCAGGCCTCTCCTTCAGACCAACACGGCCACACCCTACATGCACCAAGTAAACTAAAAAGACAATGCATCAAAATGACACCTGCAGTTTTGCCGGAGCCAGAACCATGCTTACATTTTGTTCTTTTTTTTTTTTTCAATTCTTCTTTTTTACTTCTGTAATCAGTCTCATAATTGCTTGTTTTTTTTTTTTTTTTTTTCAATTTCTTTTCTACTTTTTGGGGACCTCAGGCTTCATTACTCTTTTCTATTTCTTTCTTCTCTCTCTCTATCTCTTTTTTTTCTTTTCATTGTCTTTGAAATCAACCTTATAGTTTTTTGGTTTTTTTTTTGATTCTCTGGGAGTTTTCTTGTTGCCTTTCTTATTCTCTTTTTTAGGGGACCCGCATTTGTTCCCTTTATCCAGGCCCACCTAGTTAAAGCTCCAAACACTCCCCACAGCAAGCAAGGAGGAACTCTGCAGAGAACTGACCAGTGGGAAAGAGCAGCCAAAATGCAACAGCAGAAGGCATACAGCATATACCAGAAACACTCTCTGAAGTGCGAGGCCCTAGACAGCATATGACCCCTTTTTACTACTGCACTACTCTCAGGTGCAGGAAACATAACAAAGCTTTTAAAACACATGAGACAGAAACTTAGCCAAAAGGACAAGAGGGAGGAATTCTCCCCAAAAGAAAGGTCAAGAGTAAATCACAGTCATTAACTTGCTCAAAACAGATATAAGCAATAGATCTGAACAAGAATTTAAAACACTCAATATGACTACTAGCTGGTCTTGAGTAAAGCATAAAAGACACCAGAGAAACACTTGCTGCAGAGACCAAAGACCTAAGACTAGTCAGGATGAAATAAAAAATGCTATAACTAACAGGCAATACTGACTGGATACAGTCACCATGAGGACTGAAAGAGCAGAGTAGACACAGGTGATACAGAATATAAAATTATGGAAAACAATGAAACTGAAATGAAGAGGAAAGGAAACTATTAGATCATGAGGGAAGACTTAGAGAACTTAGTGATTTCATGAAATAAAACAATATCCATATCTTACAGGTCTCATTAGAAGAGCAGAAAAAGGGGACAGAAAATTTATTTGAACAAATTATAGCTGAGAAGGGAGTGGCAGGAAATATTCAATGTGCTGAATAAGAAAAATATGCAGCCAAGAATTCTTTATCCAGCAAGGCTGTCATTCAAAATAGGAGAGAGCTTCCCAGACAAAAAAGATAATAATGATGATGATGATGATGATGATGATGATAAGGGAGTTTGTGACCACTAAAACAGCCCTAAAAGAATTTTTAAAAGGTCTTTCTGGGTGGAAAAAAAGAAGAGAAAAAAAAAAAAAAGACCAAAAGAACAAAGACTACAACAGACAGAAAACATCACCAGAAACACCAACTCTACAGGTAACACAGTGGCACTAAATTCATATCTTTCTATAATCAATCTGCATGTAAATGGACTAAATACTCCAATTAAAGACATAGAATGGATTAAAAAAAAACCAAGATGCATCTATATGCTGTCTACAAGAGACTCACTTTATAACTAAGGACATCTGCACATTGAAA